AGGATGGTCCTCGATGACAGTCGTCGAGAAAAATGCACACGTCCGAGCGATGCCAAGCGTCTGGATGAAATCCCGACCGTTTCCCCGGGGCCATCGCCAGTCATGGTTTGACGACCCCAGGGCCTGGCGAGGGCCCGCGGAGGAGGAAAAAACTGCCTAAGACCTCCCGTCGTGACTCTTATGTCACGACGCGAGCGCGTGTTTGGGAACCGCTCGTCCTCGGCGTCGCCCGACCCGCCCAGGGGATGGCGTCGGGCGCCTTGCGGGCCGATGTGCAGGCCTCAGCCAGGACTGTTCTGAGAACAGTTCGTGCGCACCAGGGGTTCTCAGAACCTTCGTCGGTGGGCTTACAGTCAAAAACCCTAATAAGGACGCGAGGTAAGGATGCAAGACCCTTGGAGGCCGAAGTTGGGATTTCTGGGGCGGCGGACGACGAAAACCTCAAGGACGCAAGAGCAAGGAAGAGCAAGGACGCAAGGGTACCCTGAGCAAAGTCGCGCGTCCTTAAAAGGGTTTTTGACTGTATATCAGGACGCCTCGCCACTGCCTGGCAGGTGGGTTCGGAGAGTCGCGCCGCACCGCCGATGCAGCGGCGCCCAGCGAGGGCCCGACTGCACAAACACGGCGTCATCCTCGCCTGCGAGCCGCTCGTCCTCGGCGTCGTCCGACCTGCCCCATCGGAGGGCGTCGGGCAGGGCGTCGGGCAAGCAAGCGCGTCGCGCGCGCGAGACAGGCGGAGCGGCCTCGCCGGCCAGGGGCGGCGGCGAGGCGTCACGGATTGGCGCGCGGGCTCTCCCAGACGGGGTCCGCAGCAGACCCCCTGGGGTCATGAGAAAATCGCGACGGGATGTTCTTTATAGTTTCCGGCCTCTGGGGGCTCTTCCCGGGGGGGGGCTCGAGGAGTCCGTTCTGTCGGGCGGATCGTGCGCCTGGCGGGCTTCACGGGCGGGGCCTGTGGTGGAGGCCTCCCAGATGGGGTCCGCAGCAGTGCCCCTCGAGTCGTGAGAAAATCGCGACGGGAGGTTCTTTTGGCTGCTTTCGGCCTCTGGGGGCCCTCATCGGGCCTCGGGACCGTCAACAAAACGACTCAGGATGAGAAGCTGGTCCCAGGGAGTGGGTCGAGGCCTCTCGACGTCGACGTGCTGACAAATCATGACGCTCGGGGTCTGTGGCAGCAGGCGGCGGGCTCCTTGCCAGCGGCCTGCCCCACTGATGGCATGAAGGGGGGCTGCGGCCCGGGTTTGGCGACGCCGCAGGCGGGGCTCGAGGAGAGGAGTCCGTTCCGTCGGGCCGGCAGTGCGACCGGCGGGCTTCCAGGGCGGGGCCTCCGGCGGGACAGCCTGGGCCTCCCAGGCGGGGTCCACGGCAGCTGGGGTCCGAGCATCGCGCCGCAGGGCCGATGCAGCGGCGGCGTGGCTCGATGTGGAGCCCGATCTTCTCCGCGCCAGTGGCGCCGAGGCATTGCTGCCGCACTGGCGAGGCGTTCGCCGGTGCATCGGCGATGCGGGGCCAACTTCCGACTCCATCTAGTCGGACTCCACTTGGGAGGCCTCTCGTGGAGCAGCAGCACCAGTATCCTTTTGCTTTCCCAGATCGGAAAAGAACAAAACTGCGTCAGCGTGAAAACTTCGGGGCTCCGCGCGGGTTTATGTGGTCGGCGCTGGACCGCCCCCATCCCTCCATCCCTCCCTGGCGCGCGCAGCGCGCCAGGGGCGGTCTAGCGCCGATCCGAGAAGTCCGCGCAGACCTCCGACAGCAGATGATCAGTTGCCGTCCTTATGTTTATGTTCCATGTTCCTCTATGTTTCGCCAGGGGTGGATGGTACCACACACACAATTCTATACCGATCCTGCTCAAGCTGACCCCGGGCTTCAGATCGGTGCGCGTGCCCCCTGGGAAAGCCAGGATGGCGCATGCAGCGATCCTGTGCCAAGGATGGGCCTGGCGAGGATCGGTGTAGTTCTGAACAGAGCCCGCGCGCATGGTAAAGACTCGCGATTTCCCAAGAAATGCGTCCTTGCCTCCTCGGCCCATCCTCAGCCGCTTTCGTTGGCCAGCCGCTCAGGGTACACTTGGGGCTGGCGGCGCCACCAAGCGCGGTCCAGCGCCGATCCGAGAAGTAGGCGTGGATCTCCGAAAGCAGATTGCTGGTCTCCCTCATCGTCATCATATTCACCATCGTCATCATCACCATCATCACCACCATCACCATCACAATCACAAACAACATCATCATCATCACCATCATCACCATCATCATCATCATCATCATCACCATCATCATAATCACCATCATCACCATCATCATGATCATCACTATCATCATGATCATCATCATCATCATCATCGTCGCCACCATCATCATCATCATCATCATCATCATCATCATCATCATCATCATCATTACCATAATCATCATCATCGTCATCATAATGACTATCACCACCATCAGCACCATCGTCATCATCACCATCAGCATCATCATCATCAGCATCATCATCAACATCACCTTCATCACAATCATCATCATTTGCATTGGCATCATCATCATCATCGCCATCAATTGCAAGTCACCGCTCATCATCATCAGCATCAGCATCATCATCACCATCGTCACCACCATCATCATTACCATCACCACCATCATCATCATGATCATGCTCATCACCATTCATCATCATAGTCATCATCACGATCGCCACCATCAGCATCATCATCAGCATCATCACCATCAGCATCATGATCATTACCATCATCACAAGCATCATCAACCATCGTCTTCACCATCATCATCATGATCATCATTATCATCAACATCATCACCATCACCATCACCATTGTCACCATCACCATCATCACCATCATCACCACCATCATCACCGTCACCATCACCATCATCAGCATCATCATCAAGAGTATCACTTGCATCATCAGCATCGTCACCACAATCACCATCATCATCAGCATCATAATGACTATCGTCATCGTCACCACCATCATCATCACCATCAGCATCAGTATCAACATCATCGTCAGCATCACCATCATCACCACTCTCATTAGCATCGTCAACAGCATTCTCATCGATCACCAGTCATCACCCATCACCATCAGCATCAGCACCATCATCACCGTCGTCACCACCATCAGCATCACCATCATCAACATGATCATCACCATTCATCATCATCGTCATCGTCAACATCATCATCACCATCGCCACCACCATCATCATCATCAGCATCAGCATCACCATCGTCATGAGAATCATCAGCCATCGCCACCACCATCATCATCATCATGATCATGATCATCATCATCAACATCATCATCACCAGCACCATCAGGATCACCATCATCATCAGCATCATCGTCATTACCACTACCATCATCAGCATCATCAATCATGAACCACCAGTCATCACTGTCACCATCATCCATGTCATCACCATCGTCACCACCACCACCACCATCATCATCAGCATCAACACCATCACCATCACCGTCGTCATCATCATCATCTGCATCAGCATCAGCATCCTCATCACCACCATCATCATCATCACCACCATCATCACCATCATCATCACCATCCCACTATCCCACCACCACTACCATCATCACCATCACCATCACCATCATCATCAGGCTCCCCAGTGTTTAGCCTGGATGCTTCTAGTGGCGCAGCGGCGTCGGCATCCTCTTGCTCCCTCAAGATCGCGCCACATCACCGGCGCAGGGCAGGGCGCCGGCGCCCCCTCGCGATCGCGCGCTCCCCAGACCACCGACGTCATTTTTTTCATACATATATAAGCATCTGTATATATGTATAAAATAATAACAATACTAATAATACTAATAATAATAACAATAATAATAATACTAATAATAATAATAACAATAATACGAATAATAATAATACTACTAATAATAATATTAATAATAATAATAATAATAATAATAATAATAATAATAATAATAATAATAATAAACGTGTCGACCCCTGCAGAATAACGCCCATCGCCCCGCCGATGGTCAGAGGATGGCGAGCTGAGACAACAGCAATTGACCTTCGGCGGGCCCCGTCGTCGTCACGGCCAGACGCAGCTCGGAAAACTGGTTCGTTCGGACCTGGGAGGAGGGGTCGGGGCTCCGAAGATGAGCTGTCGCTGTCTCAGCTAGCTCTGTTCCTGGCCCAGCCCCCCGACGTCATGATTCTTCAATAACGTCGACCCCCAAGGCTTCCGATCCATTCCCCAGGACCGGCTTTTCATGTGGAGACGTTTTTTGACCGCCCCGAGGCCCGGTGGAAAGGCTCCCAGGGGCCGAACGCAGCGCCACACTGACCGTCGCTCCGAGGCGGCTCGAAGTGACCACGGAGCTCTCCAAAAAGTCACCCAAGGCCCCCCAAAAGAGCCCAAGAGGACGCCAAGAGAGCCCCAAGAAGGGCTCCAGAGCGTCAGCGTCGTCGTCGTCGTTGCCGCCGCTGGCGCCGCCGCCGCCGCCGGCGTCGTTGTCATCGCCGCCGTCGCCGTCGTCGCGTCGCCGTCGTCGCGTCGCCGTCTTCGCCGCCGCCACCGTCGTCGCCGTCGCCGTCGCCGTCGCCGTCGTCGCCGTTGCCGTCGCCGTCGCCGTCGTCGTCGTCGTCGTCGTCGTCGTCGTCGTCGTCATCGTCGTCGTCGTCGTCGTCGTCGTCGTCGTCGTCGTCCCCCGTCAGGGGTCGTCGTCGTCCCGGCCGCAAGGCCCTCCCAATCGCGAGACACCCCCCCGCCGCGATTTTCCCATGACCCGAGGGGTCCTGGGCTCTCCGCAAGCAGAACGTCGACCCTCACAGGTCTCGACCCATCCCGCGGAGCCCGTCTTTCGTCCTGCATCGTTTTCTGATGGCCCCGAGGCCCGGTAAGGGCCTCCAGAGACTGAAAATAGCGGCAAACTTTCCAGCGCGACTTTTCCACGACTCGACGGGGTCGTGGTCCGCTGTCCCCTCGCGGTCGCGCGCCTGGGCGGCCAGCGCCGCTCCCACGGCCGAGGGGATGGCAGCCCCCGCCGCGCGCACCTCGGGGCGCTGCTCTCGACGCCGGGAGCACGGGCCGGGGCGCTGGTAGTCTTAGCGCTCGCATTATTATCATTGTTTTTACAGCTCGTATTCTTATTATTCTTGCTAGTCTGATTCTTACGATCCGTTGTTCATAGTATGACCGATCGTACGATGGTTGTTTACATGGTTTACAGTGTTAGGAAGACTATTATATTAATGCGTGTTTTTATTATTGCTGCTGTCTCTCTTAATCGTATCGTTAGCAACCATATTATCTTTTTTTGTTTGCCATTTCTACTATGGTAACTTTATGATCATTATGGCTAACATTTTGGTTCTTATGTCTAAATCGATTGTTCATAATATGATTGTTGATGCTACTGGGATTTCTTCATTCGCAGTTTTACCGTTACTGCTTCATGGATATTCTTGGGGATATGTAAAATGATTCTTACCAACTTTATATATATATATATATTGGTATGGTTTGCCATATTGCAACTCTTACTATGGTGCTGAATCTTTCTATTGCTGGTATGTTTGTTTTTCGTGCGCTTTAAATACTTAGAAGTAGTACTTGCTATTCTGATTAAAACTTGCAATTTTAGAGCTATATTGGTTTTACATGATGATTGTTCACATGAGCGTAATTTCGTATTCGTATCGTGATTATCATTATTGTTCGTATTGGTGCTACTCTAAGCATTGTTAGTTAATTACCAGTGTAACAATTACTCTTGTCAGTGTTATTCTGATTGTTCGTATCATGTATTACGATGTGTTGTATTATCTTGTATGGCTATGATTTGTAGCATTATAGTTGCACATATGATATTGTGTTGTTATATGTTGTTATTATTGTTACTCTGAGTATTACTATTACCGGTATTCATATGACTACGATCGTTCGCGTGCATATTATTCTTAGTTGTTATGAACCGTGTGTTTCTAACATCAAAATTCCAGTCAATAGACATACTTGTTTTCTCCTTTTGCGGCTCGCCCGTGTTGTTTTTACTCTGCTTGTTCCTTACCATTCGCATTCTGCCCTTATGATTTTATAGCTAATACTCGCATTTGCTAGATTATTCGCACCCTAAGATTTTTTAATTTATTGGTATTAATGATATTGTTACTGTTCTGGTTGTTACTATATGCGTGCAATATTAATACTAAGCAGTACTGTTATGCTTATCGTTTTGGCATGGGTCTTCTGAGAGCAATTACTAACAATTTCTTTGATTGTTCTGAATGTAACTGTAAGTCTTAATTATATTACCAATATGACCTTTGTCAGTTATGGTATTCTGGTTTATATGTTTAGTTTTGCTTCTTAGTTTTCATACTATTTCTCGGTCGTTAGTATTACTAGCTTCATCATGGTTATAACGTCAGTTAGTATTCATGACATGTTCATGCTGCTCATTCGTATTGCCTTACTGAATAGAATTGATCCGTACCCTGCTTATTCGTAATGATGTGATAGTTATAACAAGAATCGTTGGGGTGTTTCTGATTATTCGGGTTTAGTACTATTGTTAATGATGTTCCACACTTGTTTGGTGAGTGATCGTATTATGTATCGTGTAATTCAAAGAGATAGAATCACATTATTACTATTTGTAGAACTATGATTCGTCTGATTCGTATTGCTCGTACTATTTGTTGTTAATAAACTCATTACCGAAATTCCTCTTGATTAATCTGAACCATATGATCAGGATTGCTATGCTTACTATAATCAGCACTGCGATTCTGATGAGGTTCGTTTTATCAGCACTTGTCTTCTGGTTGTGATCCTTATGCTTATGCGCGACTGGTATGGCTATTCATACTTTCCGAAACAAATATTACTACTAATAGATATGTGTATATATATACATATATATATATATATGTATGTATCACTGTTGATATTCGCAGTGCTACAACTCTTATGGTTGATGCGAACTCTTACTCTTCGTATCATGTAATTATTAGTGATACTACTCTTATCCATATTAGGACCATCATTATGCATAATAACCATATGTCACGATATTCTTCGTAATACTATACTCCTGGTTTGACTACGATTACTACTAGTATTACTACCCTTGCATTCGCATGCTTATTATGATTAGTAGCCTGCTTGACCTGATTCGTATTATCTCTATTATGAATGTTAAAGCGTGGTTAGTATGATTGAAGTTGGTATTCTGATTCATGTGATTCTTACTATCACGATTCTTAACCGATTGCATTCGTACCGTTTACTAGCACCATCTTATTCGTACGCGCATCATTTTCTCATCGTTACGAATCATACTACTTGTTGCTACTGTCGTACTAATAACGATGCTGCTTTCTTCGATTAGTACGGCTACTACTATACCAGAAAGATGCAATTACAGTCAAAACGTATATTAAGGACGCGTGGTAAGGACGCAAGACCCTTGGAGGCTGAAATTGGGATTTTTTTGGGCGGCGGCGACCCGTGAAAACGGCAAAGGACGGGCCACAGAGGCAAGGACGCAAGGGTATCCTAGATGAAGGCGCGCGTCCTTACTAGGCGCGTTGACTGTAACCCCGCACGCGCCCTGGATTCTTCTCCCGCCGCCGCTCGCCCCGTCAGCCTGGCCACTCGTGGCCCTGGCCTCGGCGGCCCCCGCCCGCAGACGGCCCGCGACGGCCGCGAACCGCGCGGGGCCCCGTGCCCGCGCGTGCCTCGTCGCTTCGGCTGGGCGCAGCTCGGGCAACTGGCGCGCTTGGGCCCCACAGGGGGGCGCGGGGACGGACGCCGAGCCGAGTCCTGTTGAGTTTCGAACGCCTCCGCTCGCCACTCTCCGCAAAAACGTGCTTCGTTCGTGCCCCCTTTTTGGGCACTCAGGGGGCCCATGCAGGGCACGAAGGGTAGCCTTTCCCCCCCGCTCCCGTTTGCCGCCCCCCATTGCGCAGCGCCCGAGCACCCGGAGCACCAGGGGCGCCGGCCGCTCCTCGCTGCCGCGCAGAAGGGCGGTGAGCTTCTCGGCGGCAGCGTCGGGGTCCCTTCCCGCGGGGGCGAGTCGCAGCTCCTCGGGGGCTTTCCTCCCGAGGGGGTCACCACCAGAGGGGGTCACCGCCAGGGGGCGAAGCGCAGCTCCTGAGGCAGGGGAGCGAACCATGGCATAAACGTAGCCTCGGATCCCGGGAGCTCCGCGCGGCTTCCTCGGATCGGCGCTGGGGCCCCCTGGCGGCGCTGGCCCCGGCGCGCTCCGCGCGGACCTCAGAGTTGGTATGTTTATGCCAAAGTTTGCGCCCCGATGAGGGGGCTCCTTCCCAGGGGGATCACCATCAGGTCGTCGTCCAGGTCGTCGTCGTCGTCGTCGTTCGTCGTCGTTCGTCACCAGTTCCTCTTGGAGATCGAGGTTCCAGCGTCGAAGCTCGAGAGGTTTGTGGACGTCAGCGATCCACTGGGGGCCAAACCGATGGGTGGCAGGCCATTACGTGCCTGCTGAAGATGAGGCCGTCACAGCCTTTGCCGCGACCTCCTTAACCTGCATCCCTCTGTAGAAACGCAACCATCCTCGCAATCTCGGGGATATCAACAGGTACCGATTCCGCTACTCCCCGAACCTCTCCTGGGGTGCGTTCTGACCAGGACTTCGAGGCGAATCCAGCGGTGGCGACGAGGGCCCCCCAGGCCGAGAAGGGGCTACAGTGCGGACGCGGCCGCAAGAAACCCTCGCAAGAAACCCAGCTCTGAAAACCCGCGCGCGGGATGCACGCGGGGGGGGAACCCTAGAGCACCCTGAACGCAGCAGCTTCTTCAACGGTCGCGGGAAGTCATCGCGCAGCACGCGGAGCGAAGAAACCCAGGGTTCCCGTGACGACAAGCATATGGTTTCTTGGTGCGGGCCCCCACAGCATTGCATTTCCCTCCCCCCCCTTCCGCTGCCACTTCAGGCAGCGCTGGGCCGAACAAACAAACAACAGGTGGGCCCCGACTTGCGCGGAGTCCGGAGCTCCTTCCTCGAGGCGGATCCAGCGGAGGCGACGAGCCCCCTGGAGGCCGAGAATTGGAGGCCTAGAAATGGGCACCAACACCACCACAGCGGGCTGCCTCCACATGGGCAAGATGATCCTAGATCTCGGTGTTGGTGGCAATATTTCGGTCACGTTGGAAGCCAGAATATGACCACCATCATCGAGATCGGGATCTTCTTCCCTCGGTGGAGGCACACCGCCGATATTGGTGTTGGTGTCAACCTCTAGGCCTGCGAGAGAAGGGGCCGGGCGGGCGAAGGGCAGCGGCGGGGGCACCGCTTCCTCCTCCGAGCTTCCGGGGGAGCGTCGGCAAGGCAGGCGCGTCATGGCTGCGCCCCCCGGAGGGCGATCCGCGCCCCACGGCCGAAAAGGGGGGAGGAGGAGTAGAATGAGGAGGAGGAAGGAGGAGGGGGAGGAGGAGGAGGAGGAGGAGGAGGAGGAGGAGGAGGAGGAGGAGGAGGAGGAGGAGGAGGGAGGAGGAGGAGGAGGAGGGGGAGGAGGAGGAGGAGGAGGAGGAGGAGGAGGAGGAGGAGAGGAGGAGGAGGAGGAGGAGATGGAAGAGGAGGAGAGGAGGAGGAGGAGGAGGAGGAGGAGGAGGAGGAGGAGGAGGAGGAGGAGGAGGAGGAATGGGGAGATGGATGATGAGGAGGATGAGGAGAGGAGGAGAGGAGGAGGAGGAGGAGTGAGGAGGAGGAATGAGGAGGAGGAGGAGGAGGAGGAATGAGGAGGAGGAGGAGGAGGAGGAGGAGGAGGAGGAGGAGGAGGAGGAGGAGGAGGAGGAGGAAGAGGAGAGGAGGAGGGGGAGGACGAGGAGGAGGGCGGAGGACGAGCAGGACGAGGAGGAGAAGGGAGAGGAGGAGGAGGAGGAGGAGGAATGAGGAGGAGGAGGAGGAGGAGGAGGAGGAGGAGGAGGAGGAGGAGGAGGAGGAGGAGGAGGAGGAGGAGGAGGAGGAGGAGGAGGAACACAGACAAACAGCACCCCTTCTCGCGAGCTGGCCGCCGCCGTGGCTTGTGCTCTTCGGGGCTCGCTGCCTCGAGGCGCTGACGCTGTTTTGTGCTCGAGGAAAGTGGCGCCCCCCCTAGTGGCGACACCCCTCCCGAAAGAGCGGCGGAAGAAAATCGGCGACGGAAGGCTCCCGGCCTTCGGGGAGGATTCCTGAGGCCTTCCCCGAAGACACGGAAGGCTTCTCAGTAGGCGCGAGGGCTTCTGAGTCCCGCCGCCTTCTGACAAGGCCTTCTCCTTCTCACTTCCCCCCTCGCTGGCCGCCGAGATTACTCGACTGCCGGTAGGGCCTCGGGTTGCGCACAAGCAGCCCTTCCAGACTTGTACAGTGCGGGCGCGGCCGCAAGAAACCCTCGCAAGAAGCCCAACCCTAAAATCCCGCGCGCGAGTTGTACCTGAGGGGAATCCCGGAGCACCCTGAACGCAGCAGCATCAACGGCCGCGGGAAGTCCGCGCAGCGCGCGGAGCGAAGAAACCCAGGGTACCCTGATGAAAAACACCTTTCTCCATGGAGTTTTGTTCAACAAAAAAAGCACCTCTCCGTGCAAATCAACTTGACGGGGTCCCGAAGAAGACGCCCTCTTTCAAGGGGGGGGGAGCTTCTTCAGCATCATAATCACAACCAGAGGCTCTTGGCTTTTTCGGCCTCTAGGTGCCCTCGCCGGGCCCGGGGCCGTCCGGAGTGGCTCAGCTCGGGACGGGAGACCAGCCCTGGGGAGGGGGTCGGGACTTCCCGGAGGGCCGCGCGTTGAAACCAGCAAGACAGCGCATGTCTGGGACAGGGTAGGACCAGGTCAGCCGGGGAGGGCGTCCAAAGCGGCCTCGGCGAGGAAGCCAGAACCATTGGTTTTACTAGGGTTTTGGCCCCATTTGGGCCTCTTTGGGGGGGCAACGCTACTTGAGGGACACCCCTTCTTTGATCGATCGCCTCCGAGATGACTCCACGAGCGCTCCCAAGACTGCATCGAGCCCGAATCGGCGATGCGTCGCCGATAGATCGGCGATGGGCCCCCGACAGCGAGGCCCGCGCGATCCTGGGCGGCGTGGGCCGTCGGGCCCCTGTCGGCGATCACTGGGCGATTGGGGGTCGATGCCATCACCTGGCCATCGCTCGGGCGTCCATTCCCTGTGCTTTTTTTGGTTTCGTGCGTGGTTTTTTCGCCAAATGATCAAGGAGGTTCCTCGATGGTCCTCGCCGATTGAAAAGTGCACACGTCCGAGCGATGCCTAGTCACCGTCATACGCTGGGGGCATTTTTCTCTCTTCGAGGGCAAAATGCCCGTGCCAAATACGTTCGCACGTGCAAGTCAGCGCTGCGCACGCAAGGCCGCCGCTGCGGCCGCACGGGACAGGCGAGCCGCCGCCCCGCGGGCACGCGCCTCCGCGGTCGAGGCGAAGCCGTGGGCCGCGGCCACCGTATCGACTGCCGGCAGGATGAGGACGCCGTCTGCGGTGCTGGCGCCCGAGCTCCCAACCTTCGATAAGGAATCCGGGGTCTGGAAGCCAGTGGAACTCCAATCGTGGATTGGCCATGGATACCACCGCCGCCCTCATCAGATGAGGAACCCTCCAGGGTCTGAAGCCTCCTGGGTGCATTCCTTAACGAACGCCCCCGCCGTAACCTGCGGCCGGACCTGGGACAGAACAGCATCCACCAGGGACATGAGGCCCTCCGCGGGCCAGAGCGAAGGACATTCGAGGGTACCCTGCCCCAGGATGCACAAGACCGTCCAATAGACATAAAGAACATCAGGGTCCCCCCCCCGAGCCGACACCGACCTCATTCTGCGGTCCGACCTGCCCCCCTTGGTCTTGCACCCCGAGCTCCTCGAGTGCGGCGGGCGGAGCCCGCACCTGCCGCCTCGTGCCCGTGGAGGGGTTGACCTGCGCGGCAAGCTGGGCCCCAAAATTTCCTCCTCCTCCTCCTCCTCCTCCTCCTCCTCCTCCTCTTCAGTCTGGGCGTCCTTCCTCGCTTTTTCGGGGGCGGCCAAGTGCGGGGCGTCCAGGAGGGGGGGGTGCAGATCATGGCCGGCGGCACGTGCGCGGCCCATGGTGGGGGGCAGGGGGCGCATCGAAAGAAGAAGAGGCGCCATGACATCTGGGGAGATATCATGGCCCCCGCCATGATATCCACTCCTCTAGTCATCACCCCCTTCTTGGCCGCCCCCGACTCATTTGGCTTCCGGGGCCTGGGGCCCTCGGGCCCCAGGGCCGTAACAAATTACCCCACCAAAGCGCCCTAATAGCAGCAAAGGTGAAGAGGCGGGTCGATGAGTAAAAGGTCGGCCAGTGAACACACAATACTCCTAGGTATTTCTATGGATGGCTATAGGAATCGCACGGTCATGTGCACCTTAGCGCATGTTTTACCAGGGACCGTTGCCGTCTAGACCACATACGTAGCCGACATTACGGTGAGAGCACGATTCCTGCATAGAGTGTGAGGAGGTCTCAAGCGAAACGGCTGCTGCACCACCTCCGGACCAGGCGGTCTCGGGCAGCCCGTCGTACCTGTAGGACTTTTCTGCTGTCCCTTTACTGCGCCTACCATAGAACCCTCTGGCGAAACGCTGTTCAGGAACGGTTCTAGGATGGAAAGACTACCCCTGGGGAAGGGGCCAGGACCTCTGGGGCCGCGCTGAGAAAACGGATCCTGGAACGTCTCAGAGCGTCGCCACGGAGGGACGACAGGCAGGTCCTGGGACAACAAGGAGGGGCAACGCTAGGGGGGGACTGGCACAGGGGGGGGATACATGGACCTGGAGTCGGCGATACATCGCCGATAGATCGGCGATAGGCCCCCGATAGTGAATCCGCGCCTTCCTGGGCAGGTTGGGCCTATCGGGCCCTCGTCGGCCATCCATGAGCCATTGGGGGTCGGTGCATCCCCCCTTATGTGCCCATCCCCCCCTACCGTTGCCCCCGAAGCCACGGGGGTCCTGACGCTCCTGCTCTCCCTCTGCGGGCTCTGGCGGCCTCCCCCCGGCGCCGTTTCTGGAAATGGTCCGGGGGGAGGGCTCCCCGCGACGGCCGTTGCGGCGGCAGAGCGTGCGGCGACCTCGGATGCTCCGGCCAACGCACCGCACGGCTCTGGGACCCTGGGTGCCCCGGGCGCCCGGGCAGAGCCGTCCGCTCACCCGGAGCCCCCACCGACTCGCCGCACGCTGTGGTCACCGCGCCGCCTGTGGGCCCACCCGGCCGGGCGAGGAGGAGGAGGAGGAGGAGGAGGAGGAGGAGGAAGAAGAGGAGGAGGAGGATGAGGAGGAAGAAGAGGAGGAGGAGGAGGAGGAGGAGGAAGACGAGGAGGAGGATGAGGAGGAAGAAGAGGAGGAGGAGGAGGAGGAGGAGGAGGAGGAGGAGAGGCGATGGTCGGCGGCGTCCAAGAGGGGGACCCGCGCATCATTGCCCGAGGCACGTGCGCGGACGAGGCTGAGCGAGGGGACGCCTCGAACGAAGAGGAGGGGGCCATGAGATCTGGGGAGACCTCATGGCCCCGGCCCCGAGTTCCCCGCCCCCCGCCCCTCGTCAGCCATCACCCCCCTGGTGGCCGCCCCCGAGATGGCTCCCGAGATCCGACGTTGCGAAACACCTGCGACCTCGCGAAACATCACGGGCTTCAATCCCTAGGCCCCAACTTTCTGCATCATGCGTCGATGCGGATCGAGCCGTGACAGCCCCGGGGCCCGAACCTGGGCGAGAACACGCCCGCGGTGGAGATCGCAGCGCCAAGACCTCCTGGCTGGCCGCTCCCGACGAGGGCCCCGCGGGAGAGCCCCAGGCCCTGGGCCCGCTTCCACCAGGAGCACCCCTGCCGTCCCGCCAGGGAGAGGGGTCCCTTGCGTTAGGTCGGGCATGTCCTCCCACAGGCGGATCTTGGGGACAAGCTTGGAAATACTCAGAACAGACCTCCGAAGAGTCAGACAATACTCAAAACCTCGTCCCCAGAGTATGCTGTTTGACCATGTTTGAATCGTTCTCCTGTAGAGGGACATGCCCTGGCGGCCTTGCGAGGTGGCCTCCGGGCGCGGCGGCCGTGCGCAGGCTGCACTGCGCAGGCCTGGCGCGCGGGCAGCCTGCGTGCGCGAAGGTCCGTGCAAGCAGCTGACTGCCTACCAGACCACCCCAACCCAACCCGAAGCACCGAACTTTGCCCAACACATGTGGAACCCGTCGGGTTCCACATGTGTTTTCAATGCTCCCCGACCCCCCTCCCCACCAGAAATGGAGGGCACATCGGGGCCTTCGGGTTGGGCTGGGGTGGTTTGGTGGGCCGGGAGAAAAACCACATCAACAGAACTTCTCGGCGCTCCGCGAGGATTTCTTGGATCTGCGCTGGCCCCCCCCCCGCCTGGCGCGCGGAGCGCGCCAGGGGCGGCGGCGAGGCCGGAGGCGCCCCGCCAGGGGGTCCCAGCGCGGGTCCAAGAAATCGGCGCGGAGCGCCAAAAGCTCCCCAGTCAGTGCTTGCACTGAAGGGGGTCCCAGCGGCAGTGGACAGATTTGGCGAAAGCTTCCCGCCGGTTTTTGCAGCAAGCTGGGTTTCCGGGGTCCTGGTTCCCGGGCTCCCGGCTCTCCGGTTCTTCTTGGCCCCGGGCCGATTTCGGCGGGCTCTGGGTTCCCGGGCTCCCGGGTTCCCGGTCGATCCCCTCACCGAAAACCATGCACTGATTGTTTTTTTTCTCTGGTGTGATTGATGCTTGCGTGGCTGTTTCTTCTTCGACTGCGGCGCGAAGGTCCGTGCGAGCGGCGCCGTGGTCGTGCTGCCGTCGTGCTGAGCCGCGCGGGCGCCTCGGGCCACGGCGGGCCTCTGCCGCGCGGGGTGCTCCCCGACCCGGGCCGGAGGGGCGGCCCGACAGCCAGAGCCCCTCCTGAGCCCAGAGCTGTCCTGACTTCGGCGTCCTGACCCCTTCCTCCTCCTCCTCCTCCTCCTCCTCCTCCTCCTCCTTCCTCCTCCTCCTCCTCCTCCTCCTCCTCCTCTTCCTCCTCCTCCGCTTCCTCCTCCTCCTCCTCCTCCTCCTCCGTCTCCTTCCTCCTCCTCTTCCGCCTCCTGCTGCGTTCAGGGTGCTCCGGGATTCCCCTCAGGTACAACTCGCGCGCGGGATTTTAGGGTTGGGCTTCTTGCGAGGGTTTCTTGCGGCCGCGCCCGCACTGTACAAGTCTGGAAGGGCTGCTTGTGCGCAACCCGAGGCCCTACCGGCAGTCGAGTAATCTCGGCGGCCAGCGAGGGGGGAAGTGAGAAGGAGAAGGCCTTGTCAGAAGGCGGCGGGACTCAGAAGCCCTCGCGCCTACTGAGAAGCCTTCCGTGTCTTCGGGGAAGGCCTCAGGAATCCTCCCCGAAGGCCGGGAGCCTTCCGTCGCCGATTTTCTTCCGCCGCTCTTTCGGGAGGGGTGTCGCCACTAGGGGGGGCGCCACTTTCCTCGAGCACAAAACAGCGTCAGCGCCTCGAGGCAGCGAGCCCCGAAGAGCACAAGCCACGGCGGCGGCCAGCTCGCGAGAAGGGGTGCTGTTTGTCTGTGTTCTCTTCCTCCTCCTCCTCCTCCTCCTCCTCCTCCTCCTCCTTCCTCCTTTCTCCTCCTCCTCCTCCTCCGCCTCCTTCCGCTTCCTCCTCCTCCTCCTCCTCTTCCTCCTCCTCCGCTTCCTCCTCCTCCTCCTCCTCCTCCTCCTCCGTCTCCTTCCTCCTCCTCCTCCGCCTCCTCCTCCTCCTCCTCCTCATCCGCCTCCTCCTCCTCCGTCTCCGTCTCCGTCTCCGTCTCCGTCTCCGTCTCCGTCTCCGTCTCCGTCTCCGTCTCCGTCTCCTCCTCCTCCTCCTCCTCCTCCTCCTCCTCCTCGCCGCCCACCTGGACCATCTGCCTCAGGTCGATGTTGTACCTCGTCAGCCCAGAGTGCAGCTCCAGCGCGTGCCTCCCGGACACCAGCGCGGCCTCCAACTGCCTCTGCTGCGTCTCCCCGAAGTTTTGCCATCCGTCAACGCCCTCGAACTGCCATCGCGATGCTGCCATCAGAGCGAACACCTATCCGATCCGCCACATTGACCTTGAGACATACCACTCGAGCCAGAGCGGGAGGGGGGAGAAGGCCCAAGGATGTGGAGGGGTAGGGGGGGAAGAAGGCCGGGGAAATGAGGCAGGATGGGGAGGAGGTGAAGGACGGGGGAGAAGCGACGGACGTCGATGAAGATGAGGGGGAGACCAGGAGGAGCAGAAGTAGGAGTAGGAGGCGGAGGAGGACGACGGATATGATGACGATGATGACGAGGAGGATCAGCTGAGTGGGCGGTGAGAAGACAAGGGGGGTGTCCGCGCCCCATCACCAGCCCGCTCTTGGCGAGCCGATCTTGGCTCATCGCTGGATCTGCTATACGCCGCTATGTGAAGTAAGACCTGCGCGCACAGGGTCGGCGCGACGCAACGCTTCCATGGGCCAGTGCTTGCTGCTGGACCGCTTGGAGGGAAGCTGCATGGACAGAAGACCATCCTTCAGGGACATCAGACCCTCCGCCGGCCAACGCGCCCCATACCATACGATCTCTCGAGGGTGCCCTCCCCCAGGATGCAACATAACATCAAACACATATGACAAACAGTAGGGTACCCTCCCCGAGCAAAACCCGACCTTATACCTTGGTCCGAAAAATCAAACGTCCCGAACGTTCCAGAGCAAGCAACAAGCTGGGGATGGGATCTCGAGATTAGCACTCGGCCTGCGGCATTTTCCAGGGCGCTAGCCTCGAGAGACCCAGGGCCCAGACTGACGGGCAAAGGGACGTTTTCGTCATCGTCGTCGTCGTCGTCGTCGTCCGTCGTCGTCGTCGTCGTCGTCGTGGTCGTGGTCGTGGTCGTGGTCGTGGTCGTCGTGGTCGTGGTCGTGGTTTTGGTCGTGGTCGTGGTCTTAGTCGTGGTCGTCGTCGTCGTGGTCGTCGTCGTCGTCGTCGTCGTGTCGTCGTCTCGTCGTCGTCGTCGTCGTGCGTCGTGCGTCGTCGTCGTCGTCGCCGTCGTCGTCGTCGTGGTCGCCGTCGTCGTGGTCGTGGTCGTGGTCGTCGTCGTCCCACCCCGCCTTTCCGCTGCCCGAAGCGGGTACGGAGTACGATGCTGAACAACAAATGTTACCCAACACCGACAGCGGCCGCTGCTGGCCAGACGGCCTCCTGCCCCGAACTGGACAGGCCCGCGGCGACACCGACAGCGAGTCCTGCCGAACATGTACGGGAACTGCTGTCGGCCTTCGTGCCCAGTCTTTCCGTACACGTCGTTCACTTCTCATCGTGCTCGTTTCTAAGTGTGCTCGTTTCGAATTGTCCGTGGCCCCCCAGTGGCCAGGAAGAGGCCCAGGATAGAACAATTAGACACGAAAGAACTTCCGAACAATTAGAACTTCCGAACAATTAGACATGAACCATGTGTGCCCATGTCGTTCCCAGGGTAGAACAATTAGAAACGAAAGAACTTTCGAATACTTAGACATGCGCACTGTGTGCCCATTTCGTTCGCGCCCCGCCCCGGATCCTGGAAGACACGAGCGGAAGGCGCGACGCGACAGCCCGGTTCGCCAGGCACGCTTCGGCGACGGCCGCCTGCGGGAGCCACGGGCATTTCCTTCAGGACTGCGCGCGCTCTGGGGTTCAAGCCGCGGCGCTCAGAACCCGCCGGCGGCGGGCCATGACATCATAATCTGTTTTGTTCGGTTTCGATTTTTCTGTGTATCTATTCGCCGGCCCAACGGGCCAAAGGCGTGCTAAGATCTCCGGTAACTGCTAAACAATACTTCTAGTTCGCGCGCGCGGGGCGGCCCCTGGGGGTCCCCCGGCGAAAAGTACCCCGACCGCCGCCCGACCACTGCTACTCAGAGATGGTTTTCCTCCTGGGTGTGGCTTCTCAGGCCCCCCAGAGCGCGCCCAGAGTGCCCCAAGAGGCCCCCAAGACTGCCCAAAGGGCCCCCGAGACGCCTAAAGAGCGCTCCAAGACGCCGATGATGACCTCAAGACGGCCCAAGAGGCCTCCAAGTGGCCTCCAAGAGGCCTCACAAGAGGGCCCTGAGAGGCCCAAATCAGACATTTTACGATGGTTTTGAAAGAATTTGGGCCTTGTCCCCTTTTCGGCCATCCGATGCTCCAAGACGGCCCAGGAGGCCCCCAAGAGCACCCCAAGACGGGCCAAGAGGCTTCCACGAGGGCCCCAAGAGGGCCCAAGAGGGCCCCGAGACGACCCAAGAGGCGCCCAAGACGGCCCAAGACGGCCCCAAGACGGCCCCAAGAGGGGCCCAAGAGGGGGACCACGAACCAAAACCTCGAGCCTTCCGCCCCAAGAGGGCCCCAGGAGGCCCCGAGAGGCCCCAAAGAGGCCCCAAGATGCCGCCAAGAGGCCCCCAAGAGGTCCCAGGAGGCCCCCAGGAGGCCCCCCAGAAGACTTCAAAAATGCCTCCCAGGCGCCCTCGAACGGCTTCTGAAAAGACCCCAAGAGGCCTCCCAGAGAAGCATCTTGACGACGACCCTGTTTGGCCCCAAGAGCAACACAAGATGCCAACGAGAGGCTTCCTCCTCCGCCCCTTCCTCTTCCTCCTCCTCCTCCTACTTATCTTCATCCTCCTCATCTCCTTCTCATCCTCTCCTCCTCCTCCCCTCCCCTTCCCCATCCTCATCTTCTTCCTCCTCGGCGGCGCCACAATGGCCCCGGGCCCACGGCGAAGCAGTAGCGATCATGCAACATGGGCCGGCGGAATGAGCGAAGCGATTGAATATATATATATATATATATGTATATGTATGTGTATATAAAAATGTTTATCGCAATGTATATGTATATAGATGTGTATATATGTCATTATAAGTACATGTCTACCTATATATACATATCGCGATGGTACGCATCGAGAACATGATGAGACATAAAATATGTCAGAACACCTGGGCAAACCTTCTGGAGGTATAGCAACACAGGCGCGACCCAATCCTTTTTTTCTAACGCTGGATGGACGGGCGTGCTCAAGAAGCTGGGCCACCTTTTCCAGCAAGTTCGTTCAGACACGCCGGCACAACTTTTGGCGAGGGGGCTTGTTCATCAGATGCTCGACCGTAGCGCGCGGGTGCTCCACGATACGAATTGGGGTGCTGATGATCCGAGGATGGAGCTACCCAAACCACTCGACCTTCGGGGCGAAGACGGATTTGCCGAGCACAGCGACGGTCGGGTAGTTGCGGCCCACGTCGACAATGCAAGTCCGATTCCACTGGACGGCGGGGGCCTCACGAGGCGAACCACTAATCTTGGCAACGGGCTCCCACGGGTAGGTGAGAGATCCAGTGTCGCCACCGATGTAGATATTGTAAGCCTCGGTGTGCTTGTTTAGAACTAGAACGACGGCGTAAACATACACTTTTGGCGCTCCGCGCGGATCTCTTGGATCTGCGCTGGACACCCCTCCCTGGCTCGCGGAGCGCGCCAGGGGCGGCACTGGAGGCGCCGCCTGGGGGGCCCAGCGCGGATCCAAGGTGAGCGTTTTTTTATCCGGCGTTTCGACATTGGGCGGGAAAGGGGGGGGGGGAGGGGGGGGGGTCTGGCTGCAGACCTCTGCTCAGTGCGACTGTTTGCAAGAGTGCGGCCTCTGGGGGAGGCTTCCCCTGCTCGCGACAGGCGCCAAAGAACAGCCCAGATCTACTCCATGGGAGGGGGGGGGAGGGCGGGGGTGGGGGTTTGGGGCCCGCGCCGATCGGCAAGACAGTGAATGAACACACGATCACAAGAACTCCGCGCGCAGCGCCAAGAGTTCCTCTTCGATTGCTCTCCTCCATGGGCAAGCTTGGAGGCCCCGCGCGCTCTCCTCGGCGGGCCACGCGCCGCGCCTGCCCGTGCCGATCGGCCGGCGCGTGCAGGCACGGCGGGGGGTACCACCGGGCGCCGGCGCCGAGCATTTTTGCCCTCCGCGCCGCCCCCTCTTGCAGCAGACGTGCCGCACCGCCCGGCAGTGCCGAGCGCGACCCGGCACGGCGAGCTCGAGGGCGCCGGCCCCATGCGGCGGAGGGCATCACGGCCCAACTGCGGGCCCTCCAGCTAGCCCTTCTGCGGTCGAAGTGGTGCCCGCGGGCCGCGAAATGCGTTCCTTCATGCGCTCCCTTTGGCCTGCAGTGGCGAGGTCTCTTCACGAGCTGCAGTCCTGAAAGCCGGTGTGCCAACTTGCAGACCCAGATCTGCAGTGCGCGCCATGCCCGCCGTGAGGGGGGCAGAGATAGCGAGCTCAATCTCTCGCCCCAGACGCTCGAGGCGTTTTGTTGCCACTCTTTCTGAGCCTCACAACTGCGCCGACACGGTGCTCAGTGCACTGGAGCCGCTCGACCACGAGGGAGAACCGCTGCGAGACCAGGCCGTCAAGCTTCGTGAAGGTGGGGCCAGTGGCGGCCTGCAGAGCGCCAGGAAGCTGAGCCTGAATACTCAGGACTCATACCTGTGACGTCTCAACCATGTACGGCTGGTTCGCGTCGCTCGCTGGTTTACAAAGTCTGATTTACAAAATCTGGTTCGCGTCGCTCGCTGGTTTACAAAGTCTGACGCTGTACGGCTGGTTCGCGTCGCGTCGCCTGGGCTGGTTCTCAGCCACTTCTCTTGAGATGTACGGCTGGTTCGCGTCGCGATGAAGCGGGCGTTGGCTTCTGACGCCGCGTGGATCGTTCAACCTTGAACGATCGCGGCTCTCCGCTAGCGCAGATCATTCGACATCGGCCGATTATGGGCCACTGTCGGCGTGCAACTTTGAACGCCCTCGCTGGGGTCCCCACCGCGTCAACGCGGCGCAAACCTACCGTATCCTTTGGCAGGACGCGAGCTGAGCAATGTTTTCCGTTTACGTTTTGCGTTTGTTTTCCCTCGTCCGGCCCTCGCCCCGCTTCTGCGAGATGACATCATAAGGACAACGGTGCACGAAATCGGCAACACACCGTTTCGCCCGCGCCCTGCCTCTCGGACACGGTGGCA